CTGCAGGAAAGGCCGTCTTGTTCCCAGTTACTAATCATGATCTTTCAGTTAGGGTTTTTGTCCCAGGGCCACCAGGTCGCGACACTCGTCCGCATCGCTTCTCGGCATTTGGCTAAGATCAAAGTTTAGTTTCTGTTCTTATCGAATTAACCTTTGATAGAGTCTCGTTAAGGTTATTTGATTTTTGTGAGCGGACGAGGGTCGCGGGTCGGCCCAGCGTTACATTGTTGCTGGGATCGGCCCACCTCCACTAAGGAGGAACCATGATGACATAAGAAAGGGCAAGGACATTCAGGTCGATATGACGAGCGAGTAATAATTCATGCCCCGAAAAGTAGATGCGTAAAGTTATCCATCTGTGCTGCTTGTATAAGGGTCCAGTAGGGACTTTACTAACAGTTTAGTACTACCCTAGGAACTGATCTACGAAAGTTTAAACATCGCGAATGTACAGGAGTTAACAGATGTCAAAAAAAGGCTTTGGCAGGAGCAACTAAAGCCTCTCATGGTCAGATTACTCTAACCAATTACTACGAGATTCTCGAACTTTCGCGTAGAACTGGGGCTTTATGAAACCAGGGTGAAGCTGTAAGCTCTTGATCTTTCGGTAAGAAGTGGAAAACTTTGACCTTTCAATTCTATCAACTCTTACAGTATTGATGTGCATATCCGAAACTCTGGACAAATTTCGTGTGATATAAAGTTTCTACAAAACTAAGCCTTTTCATTTTTTAATCTACTTCAGACCATATATTTTCCGAAAGTGTCAAGTTCTAATAAAGAGTCAAGCCAATGATTTTACGAAGCAGAGTTCGTGCTTTAACACCAATATGTCGTAAAAGTCTTTAGCATACTGGAAGAAACCCTGAAGAAGACGGGCGAAGTAGACCATCTCCATTTCGAAGACCTCATACGCTGGATTTTCAACCACTTTTGATACAAGATAATGCGCTAGCCCTAGAAAGAACTAAAACAGAAGTACATTAAGCTTTTAGCTTAAATCAAACTGCGCTCGCTAATACAAGGCTCCCCTTCGAGGACTGTGACATATCCTCAGATGTTTTGGTATTATTTTAGTTTTTTTTAACAGCTAGTAGGTATGAGTCAGTGATCAAATTCAAATTCAAGTTGGTCTTGATCATGTGAACTCTTCAGTTTCGTGCAAATATTACATCATCGCATTTCGCTGAACGAGGGAACCATAAAAATTGGCGTATTCAACCGGTTTCCAATAGAACACCCCGCCCAAGCACTGTACACGCCCAAATCCATAAAATACCGTGCTTTTAGGAAACAGCTATCTCGATGAAAACATT